CAGCATGTGGGAGAGGAACCAAGGTGTGTGTGTGTGTGGTGGGTGGGGGGCGGGGTTGGGGGACTGGCAGGAGACGAGGCTGAGAGCAGAGGCAGGGCCTTGTCTTGTCAGGGGAGCCTAAATGTTCCTTCTAAGAAGATTGCATTTGATTCTGTAAGTCCAAAGGGACCCAAAGCAAGATTTAAGCAAATAGATGATCCTATCCCATGTTTTAGAAAAATAACAGCACGGTCCCAATGAGGAAGATCCAACTCCCCCGTAAGTGTCTCAGTACTCTCTCAGTGAGACCTCTGCTATCCAGCCTCGGAGCCAGGCAGCTTCCCACTGAGTTTTGGGTGACAGGCAACCAAACATATCCTTAAAAGGCATGTCATAACCAAATTGTCAGGGGATCAAGGCCATACTAGAGCTTGTCCAAGGACTCTCCAAGGGTGATAAGTTGAAAAATGGGAAATAAAAAAGAATGAAACCGTATTTGTCAGAGCATCGTCTTCCCCCATTTTCAAGAGTATCAAGGAGCAGTGGACTTTGTAAGGAAGAGCTATCACAGGAGCTCGTGGCTGGGCCTGAGAGATTTTAGCGAGCAGACACACAACCAGGATCTTGAAGAGAATTTGTTAACGGCCAGCGCTAACTGAAGGTTTTAGGAATTCACTGGGAACTGTTGTGAGGTAAATTAATTCATTGGGTGTAAGACAGCATCACAGAGAAGAGTGTCACCCTAAAAAAGGACTGTAACAGCTGTGCTCAAATACTGTCATTAATGCTGATAGAGAAATCCTTCTCATAGGGAATCACAGCAACACCATCACTGGAAGCTGCCAGAGAGAACTCCCTGAATGCCCAAAGAAGTTAGCTGAAAATAAAGTGAGTAAGGAAAGCATTAGATTAATTCATGGTTTCTAGAAAATTACTCTGAGTACTCTAGAGAAAACACTTCTCAAGTACTAAGTGCCAGAAATGCAAAATACATAATCTTCATAGATGTGATTACTGTTGTCATCACCACCACCACCATCATCAATACTTTTGCCATCAAATTGTAACTCAGATCCCCCCGCCCCCAAGGAAGAACTTCAGGATCTATAAAGTTCGCGTTAATTCAATGCCTATCTTACCACCAGGCAATGACCAGGATGTTAGAAAAACTACAGCCCAATAGTAATTGTTTTCCTTCCTATACAGATGACATCCATACTAAGGTGATATTACCCTTCACTTCCAGGAGACTGAAACCATAGACACTTGTATAGTAAGATGTGCCAAAGTGATTGACCAGTCACTTTTTTTCCCCGACAAATAACTCAATAGGTAATTGTTGAATAAAAGTCTGTTGCGCCAGGAGCTCCATGGCAGCTCTAGCGGGGAATGCACAACATGCTGTAGGTACACAATGTCATATCTAAGTGAGCAGAGCAACCTGGCAAAAATGATCCTGTTTGAAAAAGGAAGCCATTTCAAACCCTCTGATTGCTCTGCACTCATCACACTGGCTTCTCCTCTAAATCTTGCATTTTATGGCATCAGCTTCTTTCTTCCCAGTCTCCTACAGCAAACTGAAAGCTCCTTGAGGGCAGGATTGGAGTTGTACCCATATCGAAGTCGGCCTGACCATTTCTACCCAGGGGAGCTAAAACACAGAATTTCTCAAACTTCAATATGTATTAGAATCATCGGAGACTTCCTGGCCAACCTACAGGCCTTCTATATTGTAGGATTTAGCCCAAGAGTCTACATTGTAACAAGCTGCTCATTGTAACAATCAGAATCAAATGATTCTGATTCAGGTGGTCAGGGAACCCACTCAGAGAACACTTCCATCAGTGAGTCCAGGATAAAAGTCTGCAGTACACGCTTTGGATCAGATAGAGCCAGGTTTTGTCCCAGTTCTATACTTACTAGCTACAGGGCAGCCTTATACACGTTTCTTAAGCTCTTCGAGCCTCTGTTTCTGCATGTGTGAGGATAGATACAAACTCATAGAAAGAGAAGAGAATGGTGGTTGCCAGGGAGTGGGGGAGGGGAGATGGCGAGAAGCTGTTTAATGGGTGCCGAGTTTCACTTTTGCAAAATGAAAAAGTTCTGGAGATCTGTTGCACAACACGGCGAATATATTTAACACTACTTAACTGTATACTTAAAAATGATTAAAATGGTGAATTTTATGCATTTCTTACCACAATTCAAAAGAAATAGAAAAAATATTGTTAATGAGAAGAGTAACAGCACCGCAGTGCTGTTATGAGCATTACATGAAATAAAGCATGTCCAGCGCCAGGCGCAGTCACTGGGCTAGCAACTGCTCAAAAAATTATAGCAACTATTATTGTTGTAGTCATGGTTGTTAAGGTTTTTAACTATGAATAGGTTGCTATTTAAAGGCCTTTTAAACCAAATTATAGTCTGAATCTTCAAGGTGATGGAAGTTCCCTCTACTTTTTGAAATAGTATGTGCATCAGTTTCTCAGGAACGCATTGGGCTGTGAAACTGAAACTGATCTATAACCATTTATTAAGGAATGTTTCAAACCCTCCCCACAACTCCAAGTAGCTTTTGACAAACCACGTTTTTCTAAATCCTGACCAATGGATCATTCACATATAGATCCATATATTTAAAAAAAAAAACAAACAAACCCATATTATAGGTCAATATGTGAAAGCAGAGGGATATTTGTCGTAGGCTGTCTGATTCTTAACACTAAAATCCTCAATTTGCAGAGATGAAAGAAACAAAGAACAAAGATGTTGAATCTTGTTTTCCAGTTTAAGCTTCTTAAAGAAAGTCAAGCAAAATCTGCCACCATAGGAGAAATGATCTCTCTCTCTCGAAACACTACATGAAATATTTTGTATCTTTGATGTGCATGCGGAATCCAAAGCAGATTCGGGAACATGGCATAGACCCAAAACCGTCATTTCGATTCTCTGTGCATCGTTTTGATTTCATGTGCATCTATGCTAATTTTGTCTCCCCAGCTTATTATTTAAGCCTTAGCAGGACAGATGTGCTGTTTTACAGGGCCATAATCCATTTGGTGGGCGGATAACCAGGAGGTCTTTGGTCTTCATCATTTACTCCAATAAGGAAAGTAGACTATTGCCTTGTAAAACAGCATGAGTCCCACGCCCTGATTTCATGTGTCATGTTAACCCACGAAACATCCTTGCAGCTTCTAACCAAATTTATAAAATTTATCATGGTCACAGAGATAACCAAAATTAGTACTAGGCTGAATGAAATTAGGCAAAGGCCAACCTGGGAGTATAAACAGTAAAAACAAGGGGGTTGGAAATACTTACAGAATGGGATTATAGGCCACACAGGTGTCCATATGAATCAGATCTATCATTCTAAAGCTGAGGTTAAGCAATACAGTCATGTGTCGCTTAACGATAGGGATACTTTCTGAGAAATGCATTGTTAGGCAATTTCATCGTCGTGCTAGTATCATAGAGTGCACTTACACAAACCTAGGCCGCAAACCTACACAGCATGTTACTGTACTGGATACTGTAGGCAGTTGTCATGCGTTGCACTGCGATATTACAATGGCTACGACATTGCTGGGTGATAGGAATTTTTCAACTCCATCTTATGGAACCACCGTCACATCTGTCATTGACCGAAACATCATTTTTGGTGCATGATTATATACTGGTGAAAATTCTAATCTTAGTGACTTTTATTTTATTATTATTATTATTTTTTTTATTATGGTGACATAACAAGATCCAGTAAGTTTCAGGCATACAGTTCAACAGTGAGGCATATATATACATTGCATTGTGTCCTACTGACTTTTAAATCTCTCTCTTGATTGAAAAATAAATTCTGAAGTCATTGCTAAGGATTCCCTGCCAATTTTTTTAAACCTCCATCCTACGTATAACTCTATGTTACTGTGGGAGTTGGGAGTTTTCAGAGCCCAGGGGATCCATCCCAGAAGTCCTGAATGATGCCAGCATTAACTATTGACAGGTAGTGCTTGTGAAATCCAGAAGTAGATGGCAATATATGCAAATAGACTATCAGCTAGGATTATGATTGTTCCAATCCACCTCCAGGTCTCAAAAGACCACTCGCTTTCCACTCACGGCAGCATCCTTGCCAACAGGTAGAAGGAAGAAGAATTAAGATGAAGAGCTGTGATTACAAAAAAACAAAAAGAAGTGATTAAAAGAACACGAATCACCATATATTAACTACAGATGCTGGGCATGTGCTGCCTTCTGTCCATTCTGATGCACTAAAGGAGCTACCTTGTTATCTTGGTGTGGGGGCCTGTGATGAAGGCTTGCAGTTCCTCACCTAGAACAGGACCTAGATCACATGACACATTCAAGAAGTATTTGCAGAAGGTTAAACAAAAATGAATCTGTAAAATGGAGATAAACCAAGATGCCTCGAGATTCCTTCCAGTCTTACCATTCAACAGACCTATGATTTTTATGTTACAGGCTCATGTCTCTTGTCATTCTAATCCACTTCTGCAAGTCTATACCAACTGAGGAATCTCTTTTTACTCAGTACAATCCTGCCTTACATTTTTTCATCACACGATAGTATTACCCCTTAATTACGTTACAGCGATTAGGAAGCATTCTGCCATTAACCTGATCATACATTTATTTTTTCAAACAATAATCAGTTGCCAGAACATATTACTATTTTTAAAGTTCTATGCAATATTTTAACACTAAGGAAATATTTACGTTTTCCTTACACAGTTTTCTGCTTGATTTCAAGAGTTAAACAAACAGTTTCCAATATCTTGTCTCTGATGTTTTTCCACTCCATTAAAATGCTAAAGGTTTTTTCCCCTCTCTTTAGAAGAGAAAAAAATCCCTTGTAATTTACTTTGGCTTTCTCAAAAGTTGGGTAGGAAAGTCAGTATAATTCAGGTGGAATCTAAAATGTTCTTGTACAAGGTTACGCCGAGAGGAAGCCTATAATTTCCAAGCATTCTTTCAGGAAGTTTGTATTCTCTGTTTTCCAGGGAGCCTTTACTTTCCAAGGGAGTATGATCGACATGCCATTACTGAAGCAAGCCCAGAACATTGTCACGCTTGCCACATCTATCAAGGAAAAATGATCTGTTAAATGAAGCTCTCATCAGGTGGGCCGAACATATACAGTGGGTTTCTTAAAGACAAACAATAATACTCAAGGCAACTTGTTAGTATGCCAGATTGGAACCTTTCTCCATTTACAGTTCATGGTGATCACAATTTTTTGTTGTCATTATCTTACAGGCCAGTTATTCCTCTAAAAGTGAACTTTCTTCTTTTTGGTTCCAAGCTTATGATTTTATTGCTCATAAATGTGTTATAGATATGGACTTATGATTTCACAGGGAGATAAAATAGTGGAGAAAGATGGGCTGTGAGGAGAAATTAGGTTTTTAATGGAACAGGTCTTTCCCAAATACGTGTACTCCCTTCACCCTTCTCATGCTAAATGTTTCCCACATTGTTCATTTGTTCACTCGACCCCATAATTTTAAGAAAGGCCGGGCTTTTTAAAAATAATAACTAAATGAAGAGGTTGTGTGAATTGCACTAGAAATCTGATAAAATGATAGAGATGGCATTGAAAAGTTGATTAAGTATCATATTGGTTTACGTAGATATCTCTAAAAATAAATCTTCAAAACTGATTACTGTTAACCTCCACCCCCCAAAAATGAAACATCCACAGTCCTTGGACAGCTAGATGATGACTACGAAAGCCCTCATCCTGGGCGAATGCTCTGAGTCAACCGTTACCAGCAATTAAAAAATAAATGTGCAGAAACAAGACCATCCATTTTCCCCCTTTATTTCCCCGTTTAACTGTTTGCCATTGAGGCCATTTCCCCGGTAAATGTATGGCCAGGACAGGGCCCCCTCAGCAATAAACTTGTAGCCTCTAAGAAGACACAATGCAGCAGATCTGGTGCATATGGTCCCCTGCGAGATTTGCATCACATTAGAGATGCTGCTACAGGTCATATGGGTGGTGTGGTTAACGGGCTTAGTAAAGCTGTTTTGAAGAGGTTAACCCAGCTTGTAGGAAGGGTAAATAAACATAACAACCAGCCATTCTTCCCTATTCAGCATGTGCTCTTATATTGAAGGCTAAAGGGTATTGAAGCTGCGAAGGATCAACTTGTGTTTGCCAGAGGACGCCAATGAAATTTGAAACACCAACAATCAGAGATTTTGTTTCTGCTCCTCATTAAATCATGAGCTTTTGTGTTGAGACTCTGGACGACTGTTCTTTAAGAAATTAACAGAATGGGAAGTTTTAAACTCTACACCAACCTTTTCATGACCTACACAGCAGCAAGGCTGCTACTCTTAGACAAACACCACGGGGAAGGCTGTTCTGTTTATTTAAATTTGTAAATAGAAAACAGTTGTTTTTTATTTTCATTTTTCACCTCCTTCTATGCCCTTTTTGTTTATTTCCTATGTGGCCCCTACTGTTTGCTCCAGCCAGGGGTCTACTTGTCCCTTACCTCTTCCATTCCTACAGGAAGCCCAAGAGGGGAATAGAATTGAAGGTTATATATAAGGAAAAGCACTATGGAACCAAAGAAAAGTGGGAGAGGCGTCATGCAACACCCACCCACCCATCTCACTGCAGGAAAAGGGCAATCCAGTTCTGACAGGCACATCATGGGAACCTGACACATTCTTGAGACACCAACTAATATTCCCAAACATGGGATCTGAGGAGACAGCTCTTAAACTGAGAAGGGACGTGCCAGGCTGGGGTCCTGGCCTGCCTTGGGCAGCTCATGTCCCACCCTTGTCGTCCTCCCTCCAACCATTCTTGAGACCACTGTCAGCCTTCACCTTAGTCACCCTGTGCTGCCTCAGAGTTAGCTGGAAAGGAAGGTGGGAGCCAGCCCATCCTCATGTGGAGGGGCTAGGAGGAGAAAGACGGCATTTCAACCAACTTTCGAGATGAATGGCCTCCAGCCAAACTGGGCTTCAGGACTGTGGACAGGGACAGTGGGCGGAGGCAGCCCCGACCCCACCCCGCTGTTGCAGTTGTCTGCCTGGGCTAGTAGCCAGGTGTGCATGAGGATAATCCAGGACCATAGATGTCCACACAGAGACACAGCTTAGAACACAGAGACACAGGAGGACTGCTCAGAAGGCAAAGGCCTCCTCTCGTTCTGATCTGTCATATACATACACACACACGCATCCTCTCGAGGTGCTGGAAATGTAAGCAAGACCCATCTTAGGCAAAAAAAACCCAAAAATCAAAAAACAACTTTTCTTCGTACTTCTCCACAGGCAACCCCTTCAACCCAGATGCCTTTCCCATCCTCTGTGTTGGTGCAGAGAACCCCTCCAGGCTTTGACAAGGTGAAAGAGCAGACGTTCTAGTTTCCGCCTGGGTTACACAGACAACCCCCAAACCCTCAGATGCACCTCCTCAAGCCAGGAGCTCACTGAGGGCCAAACCCTTCTTCTGAGGAAACAGATGCAGAGGTGAAGGCATTTGGACCTTGGGAAAAGCGGTCCCCCCAGCAAGGTCTCTGGGTGGTGCTGAGAGCCTGGACTTAACTAGATCTCCCCACCCCCATCACCACAGGCCCCTGGGTTCCTAGGTCCCCAACCATGTTGGACCAATCACCATGCTCATTATCTCAAACCGCACTTAGTTCAAACAATATCACCTTATTGTTTAAGTCTCCCTAAGTGTCAGATTTATCGTTTTCCTCATAACCCCATGGTCCTGATTATGATAATATCATGAGACTGGGTCCCACTGGAGCCAAACATCTAGACCAAGTTTCCACTCTGAGCAGAGACCCTAATGAGGGCCCCAGAGGAGAGTTTAGTGAGAGTCAGAGACCCTCGTGCTTCATTTCTTGAAGAACAAAACTCCAGGACAGGAGATGTTGGGAGACCAGAGATGTCACCACTGCTTTCCCACCTGCATTTCTTTGGAGTCATGAGTAGGTGTGGGTATCACAGGAAGGATGGGAGGGAGGGAGGGCTGATCCCACTTCCATAATGGCAATGCCCAGCCTGGAGAATTCTTCCGAGCTAGGAATGGACCACAAGAAGAGAACTTTGCAGCAATCTGATTAATTAAAAACCATACCCGTTTATATTTTGTGTAGCTCATCACAAGCCACTGTGCCATATCACCCCCCTGTTATTAATTCTTGGGGGCTAAATTATAGGCAACACTATTAAAACATTATCAGAACTAATGAGAAACAATTACTTAGAAAATGAGCCAGGACAAGATTGAGTTGAGAACATCAGTGGTGATCACTGTAGATTAGTTTAATAAATCATCAGGTGCAAAGCAAGACTGACTATATGTATGCAAAGCCCTGTCACGGGAAAATGAAATTGAGACCTTTTTTTGCATAATTTTTTCATTAATCTCAATAGGACCCGTGTGGTGTAGATTGTTTTATTCCCCTAATACCTTGCCTGAGGGGGGGTGCCCAATAATGTCTTCATTGTTTTACTGAGGTCTTAATGACAATCTGTGACAACCTCATTTTAATGTATAGAGGATTATATCAATACAATCATGTTTTATTGAAATGATGAGGAAAACTCCGATGGAGTCAAGCACCGTTTGGGAGCATGAGTTGGGAAGTTCCCGGGCATCTGGGAGCCTGTCCCCTCAGATTTCCAAGTGTTGAACCCATGGCTGCCCTTCCATCCTCTCCTCCAGGGACCAGCTGGGAAAAGTGTCCTCAAGAACTAAGGCTTTACTGCCTCCGATTTGAATTTGAAAGTAACTCGTTGCCTGGCATATTTTGCTGCTTAAATGAAACAGACCATATAATTGTTCGTGTCCCCCCCCCCACCCCCGCTTTCTAAAATATACGTGCTATTATTATCATCATTAACACCTTTGCCCCCAATAATTTTGCCGGAGTTCAGGAAACTGACTTTCATTTGAGACCTTGAATGCCTAACGATGTCTTAAGAGGCGAAAAAAATACGAGCTTTTTTATTTGAAGAACATTCTGCTTTTGCGGTTTCCGTTTATCTTGGAAAGCTAAATGTCTTCCGTTTTTATTTTTATGTTTACGTCTAATACTTGGAAGGCAGGCGATAGATCAATACAGTTACGAGGTTACCAGCAGGATCTTGTGCATATTAATGCCGGCGAAGGTCACGGAGCCTGTTCCGTAACCGCAGAGCTTGGTCCTCCAGGCTCGGGGACACTGTCCTGCCAGCCCAGAGACCCTCCCCCCGCCCTCGAGAGGTTTTCACATGCAACTTAGGGAAAAGTAATTAGCTGACCTCAACATTTAAATGTTAAAACCGTAGTCTTTCGAGGCTTTATTTTAAATCCGGCTGGGCGTGGGGGACTAAGGAGAGCTAACGAAATGGAAAATAAATTACTTTCAAATACCTAACTTAGTACCTGAAAACTTGCGCAGTGGGACCGGGCAGATTTTTGCTGTTCTGTGACGGGTGGTTTTGTTGTGTTGGAAGTTCGTTTACATTCCAGCAATTATTTGGCAGCATATTTCCTTCCGAATCAATGAGAATTGCCAAGGACACGAAAAAAAGGGATGTGTAGGAAGGAACCGAAATCACGTTAGCGTCCTTTGTGATCGTCGTTTTACTGCCGTATCGAACCGTTTCAGCTCAACGGGCTGAAGCCTGCAGAATTTCTTTTTTCTAACTTTACAAAATCTTTTGCAATTTGTCGCTCGCGCCCTTCCTTGTTTAATTTCAGGTTTTTCCCCACTGTAGGTGACCGGCTCGGTTCTGCTCGCTGCTTCCGACGGGAAGGGCCCGGCGAGCGGGGTGGGGAGGCGGCGGCGGCGGAGCCGGGGCCG